ACTGTGCCACATAAATTTGGTGTTCTATGGTGGTTTTCGTAAGTCGAGCATTACCTGTAGGAAGTCCAGCTCCCCATAGAAAGACAGCTAAGTAAGTGGGACAAGCAAAGGCAAAGGAGATTAGAAGTCTTCTCCTTCCCCAGTTGTGGGTCCTACAGCTCAATGAAGAACAGACAGAAATTGTCTTGGCTTCCTATAATGAGAGAGATGGATGGGACGCCACCAGGGGTGGGTTTCCGCTAATGTTACTGCCGGTTTGGTGCTCACGTAATGCGCACAATTGCCTGTAAATAGGTCTGTGCATGCGCAGAACATTAAAAATGTCAATAAAACATGCCGCGGTGACTGGGGAACCGGTTCCCCGGGGCATCACGAGTCTGTCATCCCTACTGATTCAGCGACCCAGTCGCAATTTCAACTACCGGTTCGCCCGAACCGGTGCGAACCGGTAGCAACCCACCTCCAGACGTCACTAACCAAAGCTAGGCCGTGTCAGTTCCAGCTCGTCTCAAATGGACCTCTTGATTGAGAATAAAAAGAAGCTAAAGAAAGCTTAGCAAGATGAAGATGAAGAAGAGACAATCCAGAAAGAAGACGATCACCAAAGGCTAACCATTGCTGCACAAAGCCCCCACTATTATCCAGTTACTATGGGCATTTTTTAACCCTCCTGTGCTTCTGTATCCACAACTTCATGTAGTGGACTTCCAAGAGGCGAGCCTGCAGGACAGAGATGGGGTCATAAGGGTTGTTGGCACGCAGATCGAGATGATGAGCTCCTTCCGGGATCATGATGGCCACGAGAGTGTCCGTGATGTTCTTTGTCACGCCACCGCCGGTCCAAGGATCAAGCCCTCCATTGCTGGCAGAGAATGGAGAAGACAGGTGTTAGAACCATAGTGGCACAGTGGTTAAAATGCAGTATTGCAGGCTGATTCTGCCCACTGCCAGGAGTTCGATCCTGACCAGACGAAGGTTAACTCAGCCTTCCAATCCTTCTGAGGTCGGTAAAATGAGGTCCCGGATTGTTGGGGTCCATTGGTTGACTCTGTAAACCACTTAGAGAGGGCTGTAAAGTATATACATCTAAATGCTGGACTACTGCAACGTGCTCTACATGGGGCAGCCCTTGAAGAGCATTCGGAGACTTTAGCTTGTCCAGAATGCAGCTGCGCGAGCGATCGTG